TCCAGCATTCTCATCTAAGTGTTTCTGGGCACTGTTTGGACATTTTGTTTAATCTTGGATCGCTATTACTATCTCACAGTCCTGACTTATTTTTTTTTTCCTTTGGCGTACACTTGATTAAACCCAGTTGGACGTTGTTTCTTTCTCTCTTGTTGTAAACCTGTGTATCTCCCTCCTATTGGACTTCATTCTCTGCCCTTTTAACACTTTTCTCCTTTGGTTTCTAAAAAGGGTCTTGGGGAACACCTTGTCAAAATCCATGACTTCACAGATGAGGAAATCGGGAGAGGTGACATAGGTGAAAAGCCTTGACCAAGATCATCATTCACTAGTTCATACTGACTCAGTGCATACTGACGGAGCACTTCCTGAAAGCCAGGCCCGTGCCAGGAGGCCAAGAATGTGAGGAACAGACCTGACCTGGCTCCTGCCTCCTTGGAGCTTATAGTCCCTTTGCATCAGAGACCTGAGTCAAATAGCTTCAAACAGAAATACAATGAACGTGACCCATTTTTGCTATGAAGGAAAACACTGGGAGCTCTGAGGGAAAGTCTCTCTGAGAGAAAGTGAAAAAGATTACTTTGTGCAAAGAGCTGGGCATATTTGCCAAACTGAAAGAAATAGTTCTTGGTGTGTGCAGCGTAGTGAGGGAGTGAGGGGAAAGGTGAGGTGGGAGAGTGGGAAGGGGCCAAATGGTATAGGGCCCTAGCGAGTTTGGGTTTAGGTCTAGGAGAAGCATAGTGGGAAATCTCTGAAGGATGTTCAGCAAATCTATGGTGCGACTTGGTTTCCATTTTTGAAAGATGCTTCTGCACACGGTCTGGAGAGTAAATATAAGGTTAGGCATGGGACTTCCACCCATGGCTTCTTATTCCCAGTCCATTCCTATTTATCAGGTCTCCCTTCTAGTTCCTAAATACTTACCTGATTTCAATAGAAAGTGCAGAATAGCACTTAGTCTGCGTCCAAACAACTTACATGTTGCTCCAATGGACAGGCAAAGAAAAAGACACCGACAAAATAATTCAGAAATCTCAGCTAGACAGTTTCTCAGTTCAGTAAAACCTCCTCCTGTTGTCTAAAATATGCTCTCCGAGAGATGTCGCTCAGAATCATGAGTGCTGTCACTCCTGTTGGCTCTGCCTGCCACGCTGTAGCTTGTGTCTGGGCCGCAGTCTAGTTAAGCCAGCCTGTGGGGTCAGAGGCGCACCCCATGACATCGGACGACCCACTTGATGGGTGCCACTTTCAGCAACTTGGCAGTTTGTTTTAAAACAATTAAGTGTTATTTTAGCCTTATACCTTACTTCAGTTGTGAAATCATTCCTTTTCATCGTGTCTCCTTAACTGTACTTATTTGCCTTATACGTATATTTACAAGCTAATGCAACCAGTTATTTTGATTGAGTAACACCGACATGTTTATATATGTTTACCCTGCCTCTCAGGAAATACTCGGTGTGCTTTTTATCCGATGATTATTGCTAACTCATCTCAGCATGTATTTATTGACATGTAGAAGCACTGTGGTATTCCGGCAACAGCAAGGGCTTTGGGCAGACATGCCTACATCATCATCACTCCACCCTGGAGGCTTTGAGCAAGCGCCGCCTCTATAAAATGGGTATAATAAACTCACGGGGGAATTATGGAAAGGGGTAGTACACCATATATACAACTGGCTTATGCCACACTCAATAAGTTTTTTCTATTTTATTATCACATCAGCCTGACTGAGGTATCATTGACAGACAATAAACGTATGTGTTCAGAATATACAGTTGATACATTCTGGCATGTGCAGTCCCATGAAATCTTCAGACAGGCACGCTTTTTATCCCTCCCCTTACCTATCTATTCCGTATCTATTGATTTGGTGGTGGTGTGGGGAGAAGGAAGTATGTATTATTTTTAAACATACTTAGAATGATCATTGCTCTCTGTGGATGTACTCCCAATATTTAACCTATTTTTAATTGGATTTGGCATTAGAGGAAAGTAAGTTTTTTGGAATTGATCCAGCAACAGTGTCCGGAAACAGCTGAGAAAAAGAACCATGCAGCCCCTCCCCTGCCTGGGTCCTGCAGGCATCACCCCTGCAGCCCTCATCGAGTGGGTGCCTCGATGTGGAAAGCACGAGGGGCCTTCACGGGGGTACAGATGTGGCTCCGACAGAGGCCTTGCCCTCAGGGGTCTTAGAATCCAGGGACCGAGAAGCGAAAAGTTACCCTCACAACAATCCTATGAACTATAATATAAGATGGGAAGAGAGAAATACCGGAGGGATTCAGAGGGCACGATAACTTCTGTCTCAGGAATAAGCTTCAGTGAGGAAAAAAGCCATCTCTTGCCTCCTCCCCGGCGTCTGTCTGAGGTAGGTGTGCAGAGCAGTTTTGACAGAGACAGGGCCTGCCCGGGGATAGCTTAAGGCCTAACGCTGTGCATCCTGGGCCGACGGCTGGGCACCTGCCCAGCTTGTTCTTGGATGCAGTCCAGCATTTCTGAAGAAAGAGTGAGTGTGCAGGACCCCAGCCTGAGTTTTCCAGCAGCCAGAACACCTCCCTGACTCCTGTGAATGGAGAAGCCCCCGCTGGGCTGCCCCGTGGATAACGGGGCTCTCGCTCACCCCACATCTGGGTCAGCGAGGGGCCCTCCCGGGGCGCGCACCACGATGATAGATTGCCTCTGGGCTCTGGGGTCCTCATTACCATCATATCCATCATCTTCGGCTAGTCCCCAATAACGGGTGAAATTTAATCAGATGCCAGAGGAGTTCTCAGGGGGAGGATTGGAGGAACCTCGCCTGATACCTAAGCTCTCGCACTGCCATGATGCGAGGGAGCCGGCGTGATGTTTGGTGGTGGAGACTAAATGTATCATGTGCTGTAGGAACTGTGATTTATTTTTAAAGCGTTCTTGCTCTCCGTGGCTCCCCTTTTAATAGCCTCGTTGCAGCCTGTTTATCGTTACAGATGTTATTTTTAAGTGAGGTCATGGAGTTTGCCTGGACTTCCAAAGGCAGCATTCGCCTTTTTCTTGCTGGGTTGGCAGGGCTGCCTGGAGAGCAGGGCTAAGATGAAGTCAAGACTGAGCCTTCAGACCCCCGGGAGATGAGGTGAAGGAACCATCTCTCCCCTGGAAACACACACTCCTGTCTGCCATCCGTCTCAGGAGAAAGCCTGGTCACCCGAGTCGAGGTGACGACCTTGAGAAGGTCACCCGGCAGAGTTGAGAGGAGACGGGCATTGTGGTCACGTGCTGGATCACTACCTTCTTTGTCCACTGAAACCTCAAGCTGGTTCAAACCCTCTCTGACCCTGGCTCCGTACCTGTGACTTGGGATGGCCATTTTTTTACTCCTGGGACTATTAGGAGGATGAAATGTGCTATGGCTCCTTGGTGTGTATGGGGCAGGGTAGCTGCTGGAGGTGTGGGGCACTGGGCAGGCTGTGGCCACTATAGCTTACCACCACCATTTGTAAACACGCTTTGGTTAGCACACACCAACATGTCTCTATATATTGGCGAGCTCCAGTCTGTTTACACATGTCCATGGCTGCTTTCACATGACAGTGGCAGAGTTGCAGCAGAGACCATATGATTTGCAAAGGCAGAATCGTTGACAATCTGGCCCTTGACAGAAGTTTGCTGACTCCCGAGCTAGACCAAAGGCTGGTCAGGTGGCACTCAGAGCATGCATGTTTTTCTGTGTTTTTCTCAGACATCTCACAGTTTCTTTTTGGCTTTGCTCAGACTCCTCCTCTGTTGCATTGCCTTCTACTCTGTGTCCCTGTTATTACAGCAGGGTTTGTTTTGGGGTCATCTGTGTATATTGTGCAGCATGTAAAGCAGCACTCTACACAAAGTAAGTGTATAATACGTGACAGAGTTGGTGTGGAACAGAGTGAAAGGGCATCAGAGAAGGGAGGGAACTCTGAGTCCAGGAAAGAGGTTAAGGAAGTCTTTGTGGACAGGATTGCACACAAGGCAAACTCCAGCTGCCGGTCAGTGACAGGGATGCTGTGTACACAGGACAGGAAGCAATTCTTCACGAGGTAAAGAAGACAGGAGCCTGGAGACCCAGGCTTGGACGCCAGCTCCACGGCTTACTGATGAAGACTTAGGCGAATCGCTTCAGCTTCTCTGCACTTGCTTTATCCTCAACTCCAAAGGAGGGAATAATGATCCTAGGGTTGTTGTGTGGATGAAACGAGATAACATCAGGAGAGCCTCCACCCAGGCATGTTGGAATCATTCCATAAACGATCATCGGATGATTATGGCTCTGGCCTTTTAAGTACTGTCGGCCCTGTTTCCCTCATTATGGAGTGAGCAAGGTCAAGGTCACACATCTAGTCCCTCTGGAGACTAGGCCTATTAACATCACTGTTTTCTACCATTAGAGGATGTATCCAAGCCAGTAAGTGTATGCTGGCCCAACAGAGACCAGCCCAGTGAGGGGAGGCATTAGTACAACTGAATCCTTCATGCTGGAAAAAATGATCCTGGACATAGAGTGTCACCATTCAAAGTTAAGATGAGTAGCTTCGCTTGACTGAAACATTCATTTATTTTCTTTTTTCTTTTTTTTAATATATTTTATTGATTTTTTGCAGTGAGGAAGAGAGATGGATAGAGAGTTAGAGACATCAATGAGAGAGAATCATCGATCAGCTGCCTCTTGCACACCCCCTACTGGGGATGTGCCCGCCAACCAAGGTACATGCTCTTGACCAGAATTGAACCTGGGACCTTCCAGTCCATAGGCTGATGCTCTATCCACTGAGCCAAACCGGTTTCGGCTCATTTCATTTTCTAATAGGGGTATGTGTTTGTTTTTGAAGGACAGAAAGAAAATGTTTTGTAGAAAATGTACAGCTTTATAGTGGAGTTTCTTCAGATGAGAAGCGTTTTATGCAAAGCAGACGCCTGTGGAGTGATGCCCACAGGCACCGGTGGGCTCAGCGGTTATGTTTCATATTTCTCCCTTTCCCCCCCAGTTCTTGCAGACAACCTGAAGTCCAACCCTGGGATCAAGTGGCAGTATTTCAGTTCGGAAGAAGGGATCTTCACTGTCTTCCCGGCCCACAAGTTCCGGTGTAAGGGCAGCTATGAGCATCGCAGCAGGTATGTTCACTTCCTTGCTAACATTGTCATGACTGACCCTGACAGTGATCTGCATGAAATACCAGCTCCTCATTGACACACCTGGCTCTGCCTCTAGGCTGCGGTTTTAGAAACTTGAACTTATTCTAAAACGATTTCGCCTTTGAACATAGGTTGGTTATAGAAATGCTAGGGAAGGTCACATGGTAAAGCCCAGAGCTTTTCTAGAACTGTCTCACATGCCACAAGAGAACAAGCTATTTACTAAAGAAATTAAATTGCCTGCACCACCCAAACTGCTCTGTGATTCAGACACCTTTGGTGAGACAAACACGGCGATACGTTGCCTACAGTTCAGCCCTGGAAGACGTAGCGGTAGCATGTCTCAGGGCAGAGGTTGTGATGCTCACGGTTCCTGTCCGTGACATGGTGCTTGGCCATCCTTTTTAAATGTACACCCAAATCTCAGCTACTCAAGTGTGAAGGTTGTCTAGGAAACATTGGGTTCAAGGTTCGTCGTTAGTGCGAGAATGACTGGAAGTTGTGCTGCTTAGCTAGAAAGGCAGTGACAGAGATGGCATGTAGGACAAGGCTCCTCAATTTACAGAGCCCCTGAGGCAAACATTCCTTCCTTCCTTGGGAATCCCCATGGTTCCCCTTTTGCAGTGTCAGATGTTTGATGCCAGAACCTCTGCAGTTGGTACAAGACACCTACTTTGCCAAGTCTAAATGAGCCATCGCTTGATTTTCATGTGCTTCTCGGAAGAGAAATTAGATGGCATGCTGTTTTTTGAAAATATATTTTTATTGATTTCAGAGAAGAAGGGAGAGAAAGAGAGTGAGATAGAAATATCAGTGATGAAAAAGAATCATCGATCAGCTGCCTCCTACATGCCCCACACTGGGGATTGAGCCACAACCCGGGAATCGAACCGTGACCTCTTGGTTCATAGGTCAATGCTCAATCACTGAACCACGCCAGCAGGCAGCATGCTGCTTTTAATGAATCACCTGTGAGGGATAATTCAAAAGGACAGGCAGGACCTTATCCCAAAATCAGCCTCACCCTGCATTTCAAAGGTTTTGTGTATCTTTTTTTTTTTTAATTGGTTTCAGAGAGAAAGAGAGAGGAAGAGAGAGATAGAAACATCAATGATGCAAGAGAATCATGGATTGGCTGCCTCTTGTACACCCCAAACTAGGGATCAAGCCTGTAATCCAGGCATGTGCCCTGACTGGGAATCGAACCGTGACCTCCTGGTTCATAGGTCAATGCTCAACCATTAAGCCACACCAGCTGGGCAGGTTTCATGCATCTTGTTCATAAATATGTTGCTATTAATATATCGCACTCGAGCATTTTTTACCAACTTATTATGACAGTGTGAACACATATGCTGCTTATTATTTATGTGAACTGAATTGGAATGAAGAAGTTGTGTCCTTTAAAAAAAAAAAAATCTATTCACCTATTGGAAGACCTAAAAAGTGCCATGTGTAACACAGTCATCAGTGTTGGGAGAATTAGATTTTCTTCTTTGCTGTTCTTTCTTTCATTTCTGGAGCCACATCTCCTGGATTTTATTTATTTTTTTAATCCCATTTTCCTACTGGCTCAATGATATCAACTAGTGGTACCTTAGTATGAATGCAGAGCTTCGGGCTTGAGAACAGTGAGTGTCGACTTGGCCAGGTGTTTTGGTATTTTGCCTACATTTCTCAATTTGTGCCCAGGCTTTTGTGACTCAACTGGCAACTACCATTTCCCAGAGAGAGAGAGAGAAAAAAAAAAAAAAATCCATCTAGTGTTTTTTAGGGGTGTCCATAAAGGAGAGCATTCTCTGAGGCTGATTTGCTTTCTTAAGCTCCCGCTAATTTGTTCCAGATTTAACACCGTGAATAGAGACCTCATTAAGCCTCCCCTCACACTCCTTCCTGCACTGCACTCTGGCAGAAGCCTGCTTTGATGGGCACCACCCCTCCCCCTTAATGTTGGCAAACAAAAACCTGGCCAGGAGAGTGGCTACCACAGGCTCCAACAGCCCTGGCGGCCTGGTGTTCAGTGCGTAGATAAGGGGCCTTTTTGTGGCTGACATGCGTGGGCTGCCTCAGTCCTAAAAGGGAAGGGCTGTCTTCGCAGTGATCTTCGTCTTGCAGAAGAGAAACCAGACCTGCAATTCCATGTCACTCAGCACGCTCACCGAGTATAGGGTGCCTGGGTTTTCCCAAAGACCTACTCGGTCATCTGCCGAAGAGGACAGGCGAGCAGACCTTTCTCCCTCTGAGGCTGTGTCTGCCGCTTGAGGCGGCCACCCCGTCCGTTTCCTGGAGCAGGACGTTGGGTAACCCTGAGCAGCATCACCATCACAAGCAGCAGAGAGGGTGGCCGTGCGAGGAGAAGCCAGCCTTCCAAAGGGTTTGCTTCTTAAAACCGTCTTCCCGTTGCTTTGGACTGTGGGAGACACACGGTACCAAGCCCCTGGTCTGCAGACCCGCACCGTGATCCCGGGGTGTTGTTTTCAGGGCCGCAGGATAGTTTGTCCCTCTGGGCTGGTCTCTCTCGTTCTCCTGCCCTCTGGGGGAACACCGAGGCACCTGCATGACTGCACATCTTCTCACAGCTGGCTCAGGGTGAGGCCTATTACTTAAAGCAGGATTGACCGCAGAGAGCTTCTCCTCCTTCCAGACCGACCTACGTCTCCACAGTTCGGCCGCAGTCCAAGCACATCGTAGTGATCTTGGACCACGGGGCCTCCGTCACCGACACCCAGCTCCAGATCGCCAAGGACGCCGCCCAGGTCATCCTCAGCGCCATCGACGAGCATGATAAGGTGAGCATGATCCCGGGGGGCCCTCCTGGCTGCGGATCTGCCTTGAACACCTTCTTAAAAGCACTCTGTGTTTGATGGCATATATTTTGGAACCCTTTTATTATTATTATTATTATTATTTATTATTATTAATAATAAATTATTATCTGTGTACATATCTTACCATTGCCTTCCCTCCCATACATGCCCTCCCTCCCCAGAGTTTTTTGTCCATTGGTTTTGCTTATATGCATACATACAAGTCCTTCGGTTGATTTCTTATCTCCCCCAGAACTCCCTCCCCTCCCCGCTGTAATTTGTCAGTCTGCTTTTTGCTTTACTGTCTCTATATATACCTTTTGGAACTCGTCTTTACGATGAAGAGAGGATGTAGTTTTCATTCTAGTATTTGAGGAAGCCTCTGCCAACTGAGATTACAAACCTCTTGTAAAACTGGCCCCATCCAGCTGCACCTTGCACTTTCTTTCTGCCTCCTCTTAAAACTTCTAATTAGCTGTGACTTTCACACTGGAAGTTATGTTAAGGAGCAATAAGGCCAGGGCTTGGGTGCTGGTGGGTGGCTGACTTTACCTGAAGATTGCTTGGGAGGGAAGGGAGAGGGAAGGCCGCTGGAGGCTTACTAATCTCTAGGGCACCTCAGAGACAGGTGTGTTTGCAGCTACTGATAGTCTGTTGCCTGTGGGCAGTTTCTGCTTCTTCATTTTGACTTCCATATCCTGAAGTTTTACTCACTATAATGTCTTTGTTTAAAACCTCCCCCATATCTTTACCCTCTCCCCCACCCCCTTCCACCTCCAATTGGACAACCAAGAGAGTTAGTATTGGCTAAGACTTTTCTTTGCGTTAAAAAAAAATAATAATATTATATGTGAACACCATACTGCTGACTTCATCTTGGAGCAAAAACCAAACTCTAGGGTCCCTCCCGCTGACCAATCCTTAGCTAATCCCTTTCCATCTTCATAGCTGTGTGCCTTCGGGCATTTGTTTTTAAACTCTCAGAAATCTAAGCTTTCTCACTCCTCAGGCTCTTCTGGAATTTAGAAAACAAATAAAAGACAGCAACCCACACCTTTCCATCTTAGGATAAGAGGTTTCCTTTTTCTTCCATCCAGATCTCGGTGCTGACTGTGGCAGACACTGTGAGGACCTGCTCCCTGGACCAGTGCTACAAGACGTTCCTGTCTCCAGCCACCAGCGAGACCAAAAGGAAGATGTCCACCTTCGTCAGCAGCGTCAAATCTCTGGACAGCCCTACTCAGCACGCCGTAGGATTTCAAAAGGCATTTCAGCTGATTCGGAGCACAAATAACAACACAAAGTTCCAAGCAAGTAAGTGCATTTTCTCAGAGGACTGATAAACTAGTGGGTAAAGAGTGGCGTTAGGAATATGTTATAAATGCATCACACAACCATGTCTGGGGGGATTTTTTTAAAAGCAGACTTGAGATAAAATTTTTGTGTGTTGTCATAATGTCATCCAATTCTAGGCTCTTACTAGATTTTTCTCTTCTTTTCCAATCCAAGTACTCAGTCTGCACAATGTCTCCACTCCCAGAGCCTCTTTCTGCCCCTTTCATAAGGACACATCCTATTTACTTCCCCAGGGAATACCCACGTCCTTTTTAATGCTAATTGTCAACCTGGCCTCCTCTTTGACAGAATGAATGACCGCTTGTGCGCCTGTGCAGGTAAATGGGCCTCAGGACTTCTTGCCCTAATCCTCCCATCCTCTAACCAGCTGTCATTCTGACGAGCATAGCCCTTTAAAATGTTCAAAGACACCCTAATTTAATTTCCTAGTATTAAAGAAGATGTGGACTTAGGATGCATGGTAATGGAAAGGGTATTTTGAAATAAGACACATACTTTGAAACTACCGAAAGGAATCTCTGTTATTTTCCCTTTTATATTTGAAAATCTTATTTGTAGGTGTGTATGTGTGTGTGGTTTGTAATGAATGTATCCTTGAGATAAATGTGAGGAATATATTTTTAAGTTCTTTGTTGGGTCTGCATTAAAACTAAGACAGCATTGCTAAATGCAAAGCACAGTGCCTGGCATATGGTGGGACCTTGAAAGAAAGAAGCTGCTGTAAGGATTGCAACTAACGGGGGTGGGTAGCATATGCGTTTTGTGTTTGTGTATATTATTATCTCATCGTGTATTGTGTTATCTCACCGTTTCCCCGGGTCAGGAGTCTAGATACAGCTTCGCTGGGTTCTCTTCTTAGGATTGCGTAAGACCGCAATCCAGCTGTCAACCAGGTGTGTGGTCTCATCAGAGGTTTGGAGTCCTCCTCTTCCAAGCTCTAACCGTTGACACACTCACTTTCCTTGCAACTGCAGAACTCATGTCCACTTGCTTCTTCGAGGCCAGCAGGAGAGCATCTCCTCTTCAGCTCCTGACTTCAGGGAAGGCTTTACAGGTCTCGTCGGAACTAATCAAACCCACCCTCCCTTTTGGTTTAAGCAGATCGTTCTCCCTTGCAATTGACATTAAGACCTTAATGACATCTGCAAAGTCTCTCTATCACCTTTGCCAGAGTCGAATGGTTAGAAGTGAATTCCTGGTCATGCCCGCAGTCAAGATGGGAGGGGATATTATGCAAGGGTGCCAGTCATCAGGCTCATCTTAGAATTTGCCAACCAGCATTGAAACCAACCAGTATTACAGGCTGGCCAAGTGTAACATTTCCCACGATTCAATAAGGCCAGTAGACAAGGCTGACCTATGAAGTATTCAAGAGGATTGGTTAGCCGGTGGATGCCATTTACCTGTAGGTGCCATCTACCTCAGTGAAAGTGTTTCTACTTGATTCTTCAGCCCTCAAACCAGCTTTAGAGTTGAGGTCCAGTTTTGATGGTGATATTGTTTAAATAGTGGAGAGAAATGTCAGCCCAGCAGTGGCCAGGAAGTGGCTGTGACTCGGCAAGCCCCCAAGGTGAGGTAAGGAGGGTTGTTTGCAGGGTGTAGTTAGCCCAAGAGCGCATACTCCATCAGGGAGGCAGCTGCTCTTCTGTCCAGCCTGTGTTGCCAGGCAGGAATTCCTGCCCTGTGTTGCCAGAACTTCTGTTTCAAAAGAAGCCAGAAATATGGATTTTTTATGTGAAATCCCTTGATTTTCAGATGTTGACATTTGTTCCAGCTTCAAAACTGTGCGTAGAGACCTCATTAAACCTCTTCTTACAAATCTTCCTGCACTGCACTTGAGCTGTTTTGATGACTAGCATTTGTCTTCTGTGTACTTTGTTTATTTTTCTTAATGTTGGCAAACAAAAGCATGGCAAGTAGAGTGACCATCACACACTGGGACAAATTTTGATGGTACTATTCTTTCTTTCTCTCTCTCTCTCTCTCTCTCTGTCTCTCTCTCTGTCTCTCTCTCTTTCTCTCTCTCTCTCTCTCTCTCTCTCTCTCTCTCTCTCTCTCTCTCTCTCTCTTTCTTTCTTCCTCCCTCGGAGGAGTCCCTTTTCGGCCAACTAATGTGTTCCTAAGGTTTAACAAGCCTCCACCTAAAGCTTCTCGCAGCAGTTCAAAGGAGAAAAGGACCCAAATGAGTTGCATGAAGTATTTACTCCAAGAATGAGCATTGTCTGGTTAATTAATGAATGATTTGAGGTGCTCTCAAGCAATATAGCATAGTGTTTTAAGTATGTGGGTTTTAGGTTTCCACCAATGTGGTTTCAAATTCCTACTCTGGAATTTTTCTAACCTCTGTGAACTTGTGTAAATTATTTGATCTCTCCAGGCCTGGTGGTGATAATAAGATCCAGGATTCCATCATAAATATTAAATAAATGTAGCTATGGCTGTTATGATATTCAGTTTCCTACAAGACTTCCAGCTAACCTACAGAGGATGCCCCAGGCATCCTAAATTGACCTGAGGCCCAAACAAGGCCAAGAACCACTAGTAGCCTTGGCTACGATACAGGGAGGGGTCTGTATACTCCTCCCAGGAGCTTACACTCTATATATACACCACTGTTCATTCCACAGAAGTTATTTAGCACCTGCTCTGTACCTGGAACTGTTTGAAGGCCATGGGGTGAGGTTAACCTAATAAATCATATCTACCCTGTAGGATTATTGTGAGAATTAATTTGTGCATTAGAGTAAAGTATCTGTCCCCCATTAGTGATAATAAGATCCAAAAGTTACACGTCAGAAATTATTGCAACTTTGTACTAATCAGAAAAATCTAAAACTTTTATACAGTGCTGGCTTTTTTCAAGCCAAGATAGATTTATAACTGAAAACATCAGTACATTTGGGTTATTTGTTCTGGGTTTATTATTAGGGTAATTGGTTGGCGGGTCATTTTAGAGCAGAAGGAATAAGATGGTTAGAAGTGATGATCTATTGGCATGGGCAGTCTCATTTGAGTAGCTCTTTCCTTTTTGATGGTGACCTTAAAGAATGCATGTGACTTAGGGGTTTGCCAAATGGAGAATCCATTGCATTTTTTTTATTTATTTAAGTTTTTTATTGTTAATATATTACAAAAACCATTGCATTTTCTTCTAGGTATATACTATGTTGTTGTTCTGCCCAAGTTCCTATAATTACTCATTCTTTTTTTTTTTTTTTTTTTTTTTACAGAGAGGAAGAGAGAGAGATAGAAAGCTAGAAATGTCGATGAGAAAGAAACATCGACCAGCTGCCTCTTGCACACCCCCGACCGGGGATGTGCCCACAACCAACATACATGCCCTTGACCGGAATCGAACCTGAGACCTTTCAGTCTACTGCTGAGCCAAACCGGTTTTGGCTAATTACTCATTCTTAACATTACTAAACACAACATTTAAAATTCTTCTAACTGAGTGACTAGAGAGAATATCCTGATAAGTAAAAATAAATACACAAATCAGACCAAATTTGGTAAGTCTGCTATCTAGAAATAGAAAAATAACTCTGTTTTGATTGTGCATAGAACAGTGCGGGGGGCCAGATGGGGCAGTGGTCAGATATGGCGGGGATCTCCCTTCTCTATATCCAGCACGGAAAGAGAGATGAATGAACCGATTCTAAGTGGAGGCAGGCACCCAGGGATTGAGAAATAAAAGAAAGAAAGCAAGATGCAGAAATAGAAGCAAGCTGGGAGCCAGGTGGGACACCATTCTCTCTGATAGAGAGGCAGCCATGATGACCCTGAGCCCTAGCAGCACATTTATTTTATACCCCCAAATACCAGGAAGTATCACCAAAACTTAGGATCAATGAGCTTATTTGCATTCTTGAGTAGGCCCTAGCATTCCTGGTGCTTGACTGGACTTACATATCTAGACCTGCCCCTGCTGACACCTGAGCTTATATGAAGGCCAAGCTGATAACATATCCAGCCTCATTGGGAAGCATGTTCTCAGAGCGTGGCTCTGCCCATAGCCCAGAGTTCAGCTGACTATAATTTTTTTAAAATGCCTATGTTCCTTCCCAGGTGCCATCTATAGGACAGGAATGGAGTCAGGGATTAGCAAAAAAGCAGTGAGAATACTTACAAAGTCTATATCTTATTGTGGGGATGAAAAGAAAATACACTGAGTGCTGAAGGTTGCAGGCCTTCTAGATTTCCAAATATGGATCTATGCCCTAAAACCATCTCTCAGTGACAATATTTAATTCAAATTTTTAAAGCTGGGTAAAAAATTCAATGTGTTCTCTTTTAAGTCAGTTTTACAGGTGTGTCCAGGAATTTATCACACATGGTATATTTAGCATTGGGCAGCCTCATGGTATATTTGTACTCACACATACACACTATTTTTTTTCCAGTTAAAACTTTAAATTAGGTGTTCTCAGGTGTGTATTTACAACATGGAGAATTATTATCAGCTAATTTAAAACAGGGATATTCATAAGTTTGTGTGTGGGAGTGTTGCATCAGTATTCACTTCCTAATTTTTGATAAATAAATAGTGTAATATAAATTTGCAGTTAGTATTTATTAGAGAATTATTCAAACATCAAAAGTAGCTTTAAGACTTGCTTATATAATAGATCCTATCCACTGGCACCTAGCCCCAGCAGTGGGAGCTACAAGCTGAGGATTGCTGATAGTTTCAAAGAGTATACTCAGGGTGAGTCACAAAACATGTCTGACATTGTCCTGTCCTAGAGATTGGGAGTAGCAGATCTATCTAATATAAAGAAACAACCCAAACAGGTATCCAAAATGGGGAGACAAAAAACAAGCCCAAAATGAAAGAACAAGAGAATTCTCTAGAAGAGCTAAATAAAATAGAGATAAGAAATTTATCAGAAATAAACTTCAGAATAATGATGCTCAACAGCATGAGAAAATATGAAGAATGACATAGTACTAATAAA